GTAATTATATCCCGCTCGATACCAGCATACTAACAAATATATCGAAGAAACATCAATGGTTCTGAACTTTTATATATTTATTAAAACTAGATAGATTGATATTTACATCTCAAATACTGTCTATAGACATAATAAATGTTTAGACAATTTGAACTTTTCTTTTGTTATTCTTAATTTTAAACTTTGCAGTCGTGATACCATATTCAACGTCAACATTGACCGGATAATTCGTGCATACCCTATATTAGAAAGAATGGCGTTAAATGACCCTTATTTTGATAGCCAAAAAGTATTAAATTGACGTTATAACTTACATCCTTGGTAAATTAACATTTACTTCGAACTTAGTGGAAAGATCATTTTTAATTTCTGTAATCCCCGTATCGCTTTCTCCAATTGTCAAATTCTCGGCAAAAATAATAACAGATCGATCGTCATTAGCGACATCAATTTGTACTTGGTCTTTTCGCTGAATTCCTGGAGTATGTATCTTGATTATATAAAATCTATTGCAAAGAGATTTAGTTTACGCACAATGTCAAACAATACAAGATATTGACCAATACAGACCCTTCCCCGTTATCATACAATGCGTATTGGGATTTATTCTGCAAAGACTGTTTTAAGGGCACCAATTTTTTTTCATCAGTTTGTGAAGTTGGAGTATATGCCGATCTAGGTCTAGATGTCTAAGAAAAAAGAGAAACAGAATGTCAAGATATATACAACATAATCAGTCTATCCAAAAAAACTTACGTTAATATATTCAACTATTCTCTTGGTCTTAAAATATGTTGCATTAGAAAATCTGATTTCACACTCATGTGGTCCTGTGAAAGGATTATTTTTCATTTCGTTGAAAAACTTGGATGCATCATAATGTGTACCGAAGTGAACATGCCCCCATTCACTTGCTTCTCTCTTTAAGATATGTTCAAAACGTAGTGGGGTAATTCTCCGCAACCATGATTCCAATTCACCATGTTTTATGCCTTTGATTGATCCTGATATAAAAACTGTTAGCTCCGGCTTTCCACAACACATCCGTTTTTTGTATAAATTATTTTATATGATACTTTGGATCACGTAAACTTTCAAATATGCGTATACCGATTTAATTATATATAGATATGGTGGATCTATGATAGTTAAAATATAATATGGATTACACATATTCACTTCAGAAAAACTGAAGGGAGTTGCACGCCCATTGTATAGGACGGCGAGTTGCACGCCCATTGTATAGGACGGCGAGTTGCACGCCCATTGTATAGGACGACGAGTTGCACGCCCATTGTATAGGACGGCGGACAAGGGTTAAATTCCACAAACGCACACAATACAATACACTACTAAATCATACCGTCAAGTATTAAAGTATTTACGTTTCCCGTCCTGCTGTCAACCATGATTAGATAGTGTTATAATTATATTACGCGTTCGACCAAAACACCAATAAATAGATGACATCCACAGCAATCAGCACATGCTGATTGGTAGACGGTTTATCTATGACGAAGCAAGCTCAGATCACGTGACGATCTGCGCATTACACGCTTGAGACTATCGAATTTGGGTTTCTAAAGGAATTAGAAGGGTATGACGACATAAATGCTATCTGCTCGTCAATCTCGTGATAAGGCAACCCGGCATTCAATAGTTCGCATGTGGCCTGACGACAGAAATCAGCTAGGATTATCAACCCAGCATTCGATAGATTACATGTGTAATAACGATGGAAATCGGTCACGGGTATCAACCCAGCATACTATATGTCGCATGTGAGCTGACGACAGAAATCGGTCACGGAGATCAAACTGGCACGCAATATGTCGCATATGAGCTGACGACGGAAATCAGCCACGATCGTCATTCGGGTGTGTCGAAAAAAGTAAAATACACGTCACTCGAATGTGACCTAAAAAGCAAAATGCACGTCATTCGACTGTGGCCTAAAAAGCAAAATAGATGCCACACTGGCACATACCCCAGCGGTTCTCAAGCGATAATATAATCGTGGTCTGTATACCAATCCAAATCATTAAAAGGAAATAAATATCAATCATATTAGAGGTCAAAATAGATAGTCATAAATAAGTAGGGAACAGTCTACTTATAAGTAGGGAACAGTCTACTTATAAGTAGGAAACAGTCTACTTATAAGTAGGGAACAGTCTACTTATAAGTAGGGAACAGTCTACTTATAAGTAGGGAACAGTCTACTCATAAGTAGGGAACAGTTTGATGTAAGTAGGGGAACAATATATATATATTGTTTCTTACTTAGTTTATCATAATTCTTGATCCTTCAAATTTTGTTTTAGCAATTACAAAAATCTGAAAAAATTTAGAGAATCAAGAATTGTAATAAACTATTTGTCCTAATATTTTCAAAACAATTGGTTTAGATTTGAATTTTTAAAGAGGGGTGGAATACTTATGATCACTACTGTAATCATTACTTTTATAAAAATAAAAATATTAACAAATAAATCAATAATAACAATACAAATATATTCAATTAACTATTAAGAAAACATATTATAATACTATTATATACTATAGCATATAGCTTAACTATTTTAATAAGTATAACAGTACTTTAAGAAAGTGAAACTACCAAAGTGACATGTCTAAGTATCAATAGTATCTTAGATATTATAAATTTTATAATTAGATTTTTTAATATTTTTTCTTATAGAATATTTTTTTCTTTTAAATTTTTATTTTCTTTAAGTCTTATTATATATAACTCTAAGTAGATATTTATAGTTACTTGATATTATTTTTAATATATATTGATTTTAATATTTATTTTTCTTTATAGTTTAAATAGTTTATTATAAGCAAGCTAGTATTAAACTTGCTGATTATAAGTAAGCTAGTATTAAACTTGCTGATTATTTAATTATATAAGAAATATTATCACTTTTTTTATATATAAAATCTTATATTTTTACAAATAATAAAATAATAATATTTATCTATTTAAAAAATATAATATAAAAAAAATAATAATAACAATATTTAATCATATATAAAAATCTAATATATACAGTATATATATATATATATATTTTTTAATTGACTAAGTAAGACTTTTCTCTAGTTTTTATTAATATATCAAGTTGTTACATATATTACATATATAAGGATTAGACTATATTAATTTCTGTGTAAACTAAAGTCTACTCACAGGTAATTTTAACTATCCAGATTAAGTTTACTACCATTATTTTTTCTTGAATCTTCTTTTACTCTGGATCTTACTTTTAAACCCTATTCAATTCTATTTATTGCCTATTAATCCTATTCAATTGTATTTTTTTCTACTGTAAATCTATTGGGAAATAATTACAAAATCAACTTGTTCTATATTGGATACTGCATACATCTTTTCCATTTTTGGTGATTAGCCTAACACCAACCATACGACCATTATGCCATAACACCTTTTTACTATTATTTTTATTAATATGCAGAGTCTTTTTTTCACAAGAGTTTTTCCCAACAGTTTGATCTAATATAGATGCTAGATACTTTTATGTATCCCATCGATTAAAGTTTTTCAACAATCTAACCTGGTAAGAGTATCAATTATTTTATACATCTTATTGGTTAAAGTCTTTTTCTTTAGCAATTAGATCCAAAATAGTATGTGTTATGCATCTTGTTGATAGAATTTTTCTTTCCAGTACACAATTAAATAATTGTGTCTTCCTATTATATACATTGTAGATTTTATCTAATCAGGATAATAATTAGTTTTATGTAATACTGTAGGTGGATTCTATATTCAGTTTGGAAAATATTTTTAAATATTTTACCTCTTGAAGGACTTGAACTTAAATTCATACGATAGTGACCTATGGAGCTTAACTACTAAGCTATAGATCCATAGGTAATAACATATTTTTTTGATATTAAATTTTTATTAATTTGATATAAACAAATATATTATATATAATTACTATATATTGTATTGTAAATATAAGGTCTTATCTGATTTTCCTATAAATGTTATATCCAAACATCTGAATTATAATCAAATCCAGTTAAGCTATATAAAAATAAGACCTCTAGTCTTTCTAATGATTATGGACTGAAAACAGGTCAAAGTAGAAAAGGTTATATAAGAAAAGGCTTTTGGTCTAACTCTGATAAAAGCTCAAAAAATTATCTCCTCTGGTATAGCAGACTTCATAGTACAAAGAACACTCTAGCCTAGAACTATCTCAATTCAGTATTTGCTTAAAAGAAGAAAATTTCTAAAGGAAATCTGAAGCCATAGATAATAATAAGAATTATAAGTACCTTCTCTAAAGAATTAGATAAAAAGTATTCAGATTATTCAAATCATACATGTGGTCGTATTACCATAAAAGGAAATTTGATCGACAATACGATTCTGAATTAAATACGAATTCCAATT